CGCACTGAACGGTGAGAAGGAAAAAGACACTACGTCAACACCACGTATGTATGTGTGTGTGTCTATGTATGTGTGTGTGTCTCTGTGTGTGTGTCTGTGTCTCTGTATGTGTGTGTGTCTGTGTCTATGTGTGTGTGTGTGTGCCTGTGTGCCTGTGTCTCTGTATGTATGTGTCTGTGTGTATATATGTGTGTGTGTCTGTATGTATGTGTCTGTCGAGGCATCTATGTGTGTGTGTGTGTCTGTGTGTATGTTTGTGTGTGTGTGTGTCTGTATGTATGTATGTATGTGTCAGGGGGGATACGGATCGGGGGAGAGAGGGGACGGAGGGGGGGCCCACGGATAAGTTTTGCACCGGGCCCCATGGATGGTGTGTACGCCACTGGTGAAAATATTGGTCCCAGGTTCAGTGCCAATCACACAATTAATCAAATAACACAATGCAAATCAGAAAAACCAAAACCACTAACAGCAAAACGAGCTGGGTCAATCTTTTTGATGATTGAATAATAAAAATCACAATTCAAAGATTTTTTGGTATTGCAGATGTACATTTTCTAATTTGTGAATGGTACACCTCCACTGTCACTTGTCTTGGCGCTGCCCAAGTCAGTGGCAAGCAAGAGCAGGGGGTGCAAGCCACTGTAGATTTTAAAATCTTACTACTTTGTGAACTGTTCAGGATAATGACCTGATAAGAGTTATGCCTTGTGATAAGGTCCATGTCTGGCAGTGAGTGAGTATACTGTTGAGCTTACTGGCCATCCAGCTCCCAAAATATATTAGTTAATGCTAGGACTAAAATAACAACCAAACTAATATATGAGATATAATGGCACAGAGAACCCCATAGACCTGGTTACTCTGAACGGTGACACGGGCTGACCTTGAGGTTACAAAGCTGCCCCCACACCCGGGGGTGTGGGGTGGACCACACCACTCCCACATACATGATATCCATGGTAACCCAAGACACACATGATAGCTAGGGATAATGCTTGTAATGTAAAAGCTCAGCCAGGGACCGAGCACCCACACACATGTGTCTATACCCACTTCTCAAATACACCACGAGGTACTCAAGTAACATAGAAACATAGAATGTGACGGCAGATAAGAACCATTCGGCCCATCTAGTCTGCCCAATTTTCAAAATACTTTCATTAGTCCCTAGCCTTATCTTATAGTTAGGATAGCCTTATGCCTATCCCACGCATGGTTAAACTCCTTTACTGTGTTAACCTCTACCACTTCAGCTGGAAGGCTATTCCATGCATCCACTACCCTCTCAGTAAAGTAATACTTCTTGATATTATATTTAAACCTTTGCCCCTCTAATTTAAGACTATGTCCTCTTGTTGTGGTAGTTTTTCTTCTTTTAAATATGGTCTCCTCCTTTACTGTGTTGATTCCCTTTATGTATTTAAAAGTTTCTATCATAGCCCCCCTGTCTCGTCTTTCCTCCAAGCTATACATGTTAAGATCCTTTAACCTTTCCTGGTAAGTTTTATCCTGCAATCCATGAACCAGTTTAGTGGCCCTTCTCTGAACTCTCTCTAAAGTATAAATATCCTTCTGAAGATACGGTTTCCAGTACTGTGTACAATACTCCAAGTGAGGTCCCACCAGTGTTTTGTACAATGGCATGAGCACTTCCCACTTTCTACTGCTAATACCTCTCCCTATACATCCAAGCATTCTGCTAGCATATCCTGCTGCTCTATTACATTGTCTGCCTACCTTTAAGTCATCAGAAATAATCACCTCTAAATCCCTATCCTCAGATGTTGAGGTTAGGACGCTATCAAATATTCTGTACTCTGGCCTTGGGTTTTTACATCCAAGATGCATTATCTTGCACTTATCCACATTAAATGTCAATTGCCACAGCTGTGACAATTTTTCTAGTTTACCTAAATCATTTGCCATTTAGCTTATCCCTCCCTGTTACATATCTTAGCATCATCAGCAAAAAGACATACCTTACCATCAAGACCTTCTGCCCCGGGGCACCCTCGCCATGACCTCGAGCTTCACCTATTCTTCCCTGCGACTATGGTCCAACAACGTGCACGTACTCAACACCCCATAGCGACAATCACATCTCCTGAGAGCACTATGGTCGGCCAGGGCTTCACTGGTCTTTCTCCAGGAGACACACTTCCACGACGCAGAACAACCCATGCTCAGAGACACGAGATTCTCGACAGGCTACTTCGCCAATCACAAGGAAGCGAAGAAAGCAGAGGTAGCAATACTGTTCTCCAGACTAACTCCATTCCAGTGCATGGGGATGCAGACAGACCCACTCAGCCGATACCGGTTTCTAAACAGGACAATTGCAGATCAACCATACATATTTGCATGTGTCTATGCGCCAAATGTAAGACAACACCGATTTCTTGCCAGAGTATTGTTGTCCCTAGAGAAATTCTGGAAAGGCCTCCTCCTGATTGCTGGGGATGTCAACTTTGCACTAGACCCGAGGATCGACACATCCAGAGGCCACAGCACATTTCCACAAAACAGCCTCTGTCTAGCCAAGAAAGCAATACAAGAACCCAGACAACCGGACAGCTGTCGAGTGCTACATGCGGATGACCAGGATTACTCTTACTACTCCCCCAGAAAACCGAAGCTACAGCAGGCTGGACTATATACTGATGGCATGGGAATACCTCCACCAACTCCAGGACAGCTCCATTCTACCTTTGGGCTGGTCCGACAATGCACCGGTCCTGACACAACTGCGCTCCCCACTAAACAAACCGGTAGAACGCCAATGGAAAATGAATGAACACATCCTCACAGACCTTGAAGCAAGGCAAGCGACACGGGAGGTCTTGCAACAATATTTTGAGGAGAATGACATCCACGAAACAGCCCCCTGGTCCTCTGGGAGACCCATAAATGTGTAGTAAGAGGCCATTTCATCAAGATGTGCACTACCCGTAAAAAGGAACACAAGAGGCAGATGCTAGAACTCCCGTCCAAAATACACACACTAGAACAGCAACACAAGGACAACCAAACGGAAGACGTCTACAGGGAACTTCTTGAGGCCCGCACTGCTTGAGGCCCTCACTGTGCGAAAATTCAAATGGTTTTTCTATGAGCACTCCAACAAATGTAGTCGACTTTTAGCTGGGATGCTATGCAAACAAATATGGATGCAGCAGATTACCTACAAGAGGCAAGACCATCTCTCATCTCCCGGAAAAGATCACAGAGTAGTTTAATCAGTTCTACTCGGATCTCTATCAACTCCCCACGGGAGATGCGCAAGACAGATGCTCACGACACCAGAATTTGATACAAACCCATGTCTCCAACTCCCTGAGGCAGGAAGCAGTGGAAAACATGGAGAATCCCATATAGCTTGAAGAACTCTGCACAGCCCTCAAAATTACTAAAAGAAACAAAGCCCCAGGCCCAGACGGGCTCCCCACTTCATAATTCAAAATGTTTGAAGACGTGCTGCTTCCCAGCTTTCTGAAGGGCCTGAACTCGGTCCTGGAGGGAGGACGATTCCCTAAAGACACGCTCAGCGACACCATTGCAGTCATTCATAAGGAAGGGAAAGACCCGTCACACTGTGTAAGCTACCGCCCGATCTCCCTCCTCAACATGGACTTGAAGCTCTTCGCTGAGGTCCTGGCACTGAGGATCAGGAGGGTGCTCCCGCAGCTGATCTACCCAGACCAGGTGGGGTTTGTACCCGGCAGAGAAGCCAAGGAAAACACCATAATAGCACTAAACATCATACATGCTGCTAAGAAGACAAATCAGCGATATCTTCTCCTCTTGGCCAACGCAGAAAAGGCCTTTGACTGGGTGAATTGGGAAATCATGCTCCGCACCCTTGGCTTTGGATCACATATGCGGACATGGACAGGGGCGGACTGAGAACCCTCAGGGCCCCCGGGCAAAATAAATCAAGGGCCCCCTTACAGGCCCCACCCATACTCTGCAGCAAGCGCCACCCTTGTCCCGCCTCCATGCACCGCCTCCAGCCACACCCTACACAATCTTTAGACACAAGGAACAAAAGGGCAATAAGCCCTTCGAGGCCCCAGCAGAGACTACAATTGAGGGCTAATGGGCCATGGAGGGGGGTCTTTCTAGCGGAGGCTATCTCAGTGTCCTTTAGAGAGAGTGTTAGAAAGAATCCCCTCAAGGCACCATTAGAGACTACAATGGAGTCTAATAGGCTTGGAAGGGGGTCTTTCTAACAGAGGCCATCTCAGCGTCCATTAGATATCCCCTGCTGGAAACAGTCGCCTCCAGGCCCCAGTAGAGACTACAATTGAGGGCTAATGGGCCATGGAGGGGATTTCTAGCAGAGGCTATCTCAGTGTCCTTTAGAGAGTGTGTTAGAAAGAATCTCCTCCAGGCCCCATTAGAGACTACAATGGAGTCTAATGGGGCCTGGAGGGTGGTCTCTCCAACACTCTGGTTCCTATTCACAATATAGCAACACAACATAGCTCACTGATACCTAGGCCAAGTTGGCTCCTCTTACCTTAATTACTGTTGCTGGCTGGCAGTCTGTGGGCTTGCTTGCTGCGGCTGGCAGGCTGTGGGCTTGCTGGCTACTGCCGGCAGGCTGTGGGCTTGCTGACTGCGGCTGGCAGGCTGTGGCTTGCTGGCTGCGATTGGCAGGCTGTGGGCTTGCTGGCTGCGATTGGCAGGCTGTGGGCTTGCTGGCTGCGACTGGCAGGCTGTGGGCTTGCTGGCTGTAAGCCTGTGGCTTGCTGTAGGCCTGTGGGCTGGCTACTGGCCTGTGGGCTGGCTAATTGGCTGGCTACTGGCCAGCCTGTGGGTTGGCTGGCTGGCTACTGGGGCACTTGTAGATTATTTAAATAAATAATCCATGCACAATAACCACTACTGCTCCAGAGTAAGTAGTCAAACCATTTAAGAACAGTTTGACAACTTACCTGGGATCTGCTGGGATATGGGGCTGTAGTAGGGAATAGGAGCAGTGGTGCAATGTGTGTGAAAGGTTCAGTGTGTGTGGGGGGTGTAGTGTGTGAATGTGTAGGGTGTGTGGGCTGTGTACGTGTGTGGCAATGTTAGTATGGGGGGCTGTGTGTATATGGGTGGGCAGTGTATGTGTGTGTGTGAGGCAATGTGTGTAAATGTGTATGGTGTGTATGGGGGCAGTGTGTGAATGTGTATGGTGTGTGTGTGGGGGCAGTGTGTTTATGGGGCTAGAGTTCACTCTCACCACTGCGACCACCAGGAATCCCTGGGGGTCACAGTGTTGAGAGTGAACACTAGACCGTAGCTCCAGGGCTAGAGTTGACTCTCGCAAGAGCGGTAACGTTGCCATGGTAATCGCGGCAACGCTCTGTGCTCGTGCAAGAAGGACCCAGAGGAGCTGCAGGGTGAGCTCCCAGGTCCTCTCTTCCTTCCTCCCCTGCCCGCACGGTGCCTGCGGACAGGGGAGGGGGAGCAATTGCCCTGTTGCCCCCCTGGATCCACCAGTGATATATACAGCCCTTCTGTGTGCCTTTTTGTCTCCCCCGTCCCTCTGTATGTTTCTTTCTCCCCCCTCCTTCCCAGTCTCTCTTACCCCTCTGCCTCTTTCTCCCTCTCTTCCACTGTTTTTCTCCCCCCTTTCCCTGTCTCTCTCTCTCTCCCCCACATCTCTCTTCCTCTCTGTCTCTTTCTCCCCCTCCCCATCTCTTTCTCCCCCTGTGTCTCTTTCTCCCCCTCCCTATCTCTCTATTCCCCCTCTTTCTCCCCGTGTCTCATTCTTCCCTCTCTGTCTGTCTCCCCCCTCCCCATATCTCTGTTCCCCCCTCTTTCCATATCTCTGTTCCCCCCTCTTTCTCCCCCCTCCCCATATCTCTGTTCCCCCCTCTTTCTCCCCTCTCCCCATATCTCTGTTCCCCCCTCTTTCTCCCCTCTCCCCATATCTCTGTTCCCCCTCTTCTCTCCCCTCTCCCATATCTCTGTTCCCCTCACTTTCTCCCCCCTCCCATATCTCTGTCCCCCCTCTTTCTCCCTCTCCCATATCTCTGTTCCCCCCTCTTTCTCCCTCTCCCCATATCTCTGTTTCCCCCTCTTTCTCCCCTCCCCATGTCTGTTCCCCCCATCTTTCTCCCCTCCCCCATATCTCTGTTCCCCTCTTTCTCCCCTCTCCCATATCTCTGTTCCCCTTTCTCCCCATATCTCCCCTTTCCTCCCCATGTCTCTGTTTCCCCTCCACTCTCCCCATGTCTCTTTTTCCCCCCTCTTTCTCCCCCCTCCCCTTATCTCTGTTCCCCCCTTTCTCCCCATATCTCTGTTCCCCTCCCTCTTTCCCCATATCTGTTCCCCCTCCCTCTCCCCATATCTCTTTCCCCCTCCACTCTCCCCATATCTCTTTCCCCCCCTCTTCTCCCCCCCTCCCATCTCTTTCCCCCTCCCTCTCCCCATATCTTTCCCTCCCTCTTTCTCCCATCTCTGTTCCCCCCCTCCCACTCTCCCCATATCTCTTTCCCCCCCCTCTTTCTCCCCTCCCCTTATCTCTGTTCCCCTTTCTCCCCATATCTGTTTCCCTCTTTCTCCCCCCTCCCCATCTCTGTTGCTATCCCCAGCCACCTCTGTTCCCCTCTGCTCCCCCCTCCCCATATCTCTGTTCCCCTCCTCCCCCATATCTCTTTCCCCCTCTTCCCCCCCCTCCCCATCTCTCTGTGCCCCACTCCCCATCTCTCCTCCCCCCCCCCACCTTACTCAGAGTCTGAGGGCGGCCGTTTCATGCTGCAGCCCGCGGGACCGGGGTGGCAGCCTGCCGGTCCGGCGGCATTCCTCCTACTAACACTGAAGGAGGAGGAGGAGCATGTGTCTCTGTCATGCTCCTTTGCGGTTCCCACATCCTGTGCTGGGAATTGTGGGAACCGCAGGGAGCATGATAGACACATGCTCCTCCTCCTCCTTCAGTGTTAGTGAGAGGAATGCCGCCGGACCGGCGAGGCTGCCACCCGGTCCGGCGGCTGCAGCATCAAACGGCCGCCCCCCCCTCACAGTGTGCCACCGGACCGGCCACCCGGTGGCACCTGCAGTCCCCAAATGCCGCCCCCAATCCAGCCCTGCTGCCGGGCCCCCTGAAGGCGGCCCTGGCGGCGGGCCCCCCTCCCGGCCGGGCCCTCGGACCGTGTCCGAAGTGCCCGACCGGTCAGTCCGCCCCTGGACATGGATCTCCTCCCTCTACACGGACCCCAGCGCACAAATAAGGATCAACGTTGCACTCTCCCGACCTTTTACAATCTGCAATGGGACACGCCAGAGGTGCCCAATGTCTCCCCTCCTGTTTGCCCTCTTGAATCTTTTCTGGAGGCGGTTAGACGGGATGGGGCCATAGCGGGGTTCACAAGCCAACGTATGGTGCACAAAGTCGCTGTGTATGCCAATGACCTGCTCTTCTTCTTTAAGGATCCTCTGGTCTCCCTCTCAAACCTCCTATGAGCCTTCGACACATACGGATGTCTCGCAAACCTCAAATTGAATCTGGACAAGTGCGAAGCCATACCGCTCACAATCCCGCAGACGGAGGTCGCAACACTAAGTTCACAATACTGATTTAAATGGTGCACCCATCAGATAAAATACCTGGGTATCTGGTTGACCAAGGACCTTACACAGCTCTACGCCGAAAACTTCACACCCATGCTACGGATGCTACAGATGGACCTGAGGAGATGGGAAGGTATCTACATCTCTTGGTTTGGCCGGATTAACGCCATTAAGAAGAACTTGCTGCCCAGACTGTTTTACCTATATCAAACCATTCCAATTGCCATCCCGAGAGCCTTTTCCCAGTCCTTCAGCTCACTCCTGACGCAATTCGTGTGGAAGGCTAAAGCCCCTAGGAGAAAATTATCGACCTGACCATGCCGAGATGCCTTCAGACACATTATCAGGCAACACACCTCTTGCGACTTACATATTGGCATGTAAAAGACACACAAAAATTATGGACACCGCTTGAGAAAGCCCAAATGAATGGCACCATCCCTGTCCTACCATGGACGACCGATCAGCTAAAGAATCCTGCTGCTCGTGACCACCGCCTCATCAGCGCCACCCTCAAAGTATGGTGCTCAATTAGACGAACATTACAACAATCGTCTACCCCCTCCCTCATGACACCAATTACTCATAATCCAGAGGTTTGTGTGGGGGCCTAATGCCCCCAGATTTGAAGGGGTTAACGGCCACAGACTGAGTATATTTTCATCAATGGACAGACGGCTCAGTTCTCAAACCCATCAACACGCTTATTGTGGAGGGAACCCCCACTGGACTCCAGACATACCGCTACCATCAAATTATGCAACATTTCAGCTCCCTACCAAGCGCACATCTTCTACACAGAGAGCCCATGGCATTCAAGGCCCTCTGTATCGCACTTAAGCCACGGCAACACACTCCTCTAGACACACCTCCTAACAGCCACCAATCCAGCCCCAATGGCCTATATATCGGTATAGGAAAAGGACACAGGGATCACACTGACAGACAACCAATGGAAAAAGATACACGAACTAGCCCACCGCGGAACAGTTGACACTAAACTACAGGAACTCAACTATAAGATCCCTGGCCAGATTGCACCGAATGTTTCCTGAACAGCCGACATGTGTTGGAGATGCGAGCATGCACTTGGAGACACCCTATACCTCTGGTGGAACCCTGAGCAAGGATTTCACGGACTCCAACATTGAGTTTCAACCACTATCGATGCTGCTCCACCAGACAAAGCTTCACATCCCCTTCTACAAGAAAAGCCTGACAAGGCACCTTATAAATGCTGCCAAAACAATCATACCGGCAAAGTGGGGGAAACCGGAAGCACCCACGATTAAAGAATGGATGGACCGAGTAGAGACAATACACAGCATGGAAAGCCTCACTGCAGACGTAATGGGTAACCCAGAAAGATGCGCCTTACAATGGACCCCTATACCTCCCTCAGAGAAGGCGGATACCAACCGCAGGAAGATTGACCATTCAACCACAAGGGAGGAGAGCAGAGGCGTCGGGCCTTGGAGGAACTGGGGGGTGCTCCAGGGGAGTGAGTGGACCCATGTTTCCACTCGCAGGGGGATACGTGGGGAACTGCCCCGGGACACGGCCCCGGGACACGGCCCAGGGAAACACAGCCCTCTCCCCCCATTTTTTTCCCTCTCCTTCCTCTCTCTCCTCTTACTTACCTCTCTTTCTTCTTTCCTCCCCTCCCCACCATCTTACCAAAGACGCACTCACAGCGTGCAGATCCCACTCCAACGAAAGGCGCTCTGTGGACTAATCTAGCTAGAAGCAGGCACAGGGTGAGGCCGAATAAAACTTACCCAGCCCTCCGACATATGTCACTTCACTAACATGGAGAGGACATCCCGACGATCACCACAAGTATACGCATACAAATTAGAGCCACCGTACGACAATGATCGGCCGGCCACGATCACCGACACCCACGCCACTACATGCCCGTCAGATCTAGTGACAGACCCGATCCACTGACGTAGCTGAACACCTGACGTACGGTCAATTATGCTATAAGGTGGAAGCCCATGCGCTGTGAAGGTTACACACAAAATTTGCAATATTATTAAAACTCTGCATACACCCATAATATTGTGTTGCGTGAGTCTCTAGCCCACCCGGAAAACCCACCTTTGATGTTTTATCGCATCCTATGTTATACATTTCATCTGATTTGTTTTTAAGGTTCGACAACACTTATCCTGTATTAGCCCCAAAACCTTGTTTTGTCTGCCTGTCATGACTATTTTAATGCGATATAAAAATAAAGATTGTCAAAAAAACCCAAAAAACTCCAGTTATATCATTGTGCATAGGGATTTGGGATAGTGTACAAGTAACTTTTTTCTTTGGTTTTTTATTGCATGTATTGGGCTCATGTGTTCTACAGTCATTGCTGCCACCCAGGGCTTAATTCTGTATGTTTCTACTGCTACTACTGTAGTTTCACTCATCCGCATGGGAATCTCGTTCTTGTTAGACACAGCACCCTGATCCTGAAACTCAATATGCAGTTAATCTGATCTATACATGTGCAACTGGTGGCTTCGGTATACAGTAAATGCGTGAAAGAATTCTATGCTGCATTGCCAAACCTATCACAGGAAAGACGTGAGACATGTCTCATGCTGATTGTGGGGCTCAAATTACAACTAACTCAACAAACTTGAGAATAATAAAAAAAAAATGACTAACAATTACTGAATTAAATATCAAATATGCCCCAACTTTAGTAAAAGTTTGTTAATGCATGTCTTCACTTATTGCTAATCTCGGACACTTAAACATGGATGCACCCTGGCACTCTGATGGCATCTGCAGTTTGCAAATGGTTGTCCCACGGTAAGATGTCAACTCGTTTTGAAAGGTTTTAAAAACTTACCTGTGTCCTGCCAGGTGCCCATGCTTCATCAGGTCTTCTCCTGCAGGGCAAGCTGTAGATTAAAGCACAAAGACGTGCTCATTCGCCGAGAGCAGTTAGTTGACCCTCTCCATCAGCGCTGTCTTGCATGGACCTTCTTTGTTCTGTAGCCTAAATGGATTCGGCGGCTAAAGAATATTGAATGCAGCTGATATAACACCACCATTCAGCAGGAATTAGATATGTTATTATGATATCTGTTTGACATCTTACCATGGGATTACGCCAGCGCTCTCCTGATACCATAACCACTACAGTTTTCCTTTAACCCCTTAAGGACCAAACTTCTGGAATAAAAGGGAATAATGACATGTCACACATGTCATGTGTCCTTAAGGGGTTAAAGCACTATGAAATATGTTGGCACTATATAAATTATGATACAAATTAAAAAAGTGTCAAACATACGTATTATATCAGTGCCCGTGTATTTTTTTTTAATACTGATTGCTATATAGGACAACACTTTTGCGTTTTAATGTTTAATTTCCATTTATGTTGCCTTTAATTATTTATTTCAGCATTTGTGTTGCTGTTAATTATTTATTTCAGCAAAGTCTCTCTCACTTCTTATTTGCTTATATTTGCTTGTTGTCATTTGCTGACAGGTTTTTTTGTTTGCTCATTGCAGAGCAGTTGTCCCTTATAAATAAAATAATAGTTTTTCTCTGTGGGCTTATGGGCTTTGCAGACACTTTTTAATATCAACAGAGGAAATTTTTTTTACTGTCAATTAAATAATAAAATGACAGGTATGAAGACATGTTGAATAGTCTCTAAGCTAATGTACGGTATGTATTATAGGTACTTTATACATTAGTGCCCTGAGAGGCCTTATTCACTGCTGAGCTCTGAAGAAATTCCACCTCCAGTATAAATATAGAGACTGCCTGTAATGTCTAGTATCCTACCCCCTGTGGGCGGGACCCAGGGATGACTGACAGCTGTCACTCTCCGCCCATTTCACTACAGTCCCGGAAACATAGCACAGGAAGGCGGGGCCGGTCGCATATCGCCACGCCCACTTTCTATTCCTGCGCCCTCACCATTGGTCTGGAGAGTTTTGAGCGGCGTGTTTTAGTCCCGCCCAGCGAGCGCCGCTGCGCGCCCGGCTCCGGAGCGCTTCCAGTTGAGAGATGGCGGCCACTGCAGGTAGATCTCCGCTGCTGCTGCTCTCTAGGAGTGGCAGGGGGCTGACAGCGGGCTTCCCCGGACTGGGCGTCAGCAGGCACCGGCCCCACAGGACGGTGAGTGACCGGGGAGGTGTACAGCGTGGCCGCAGGGAGGGGAGTGGGAAGTGTCGTGGAGTGAGCTGGCCGGGGCGGGGTGTGTGCAGCTGGGAACTCCCGAATGCTGCAAGCTGAGTGTTTCCCCAACATTCTACACTTAGAACGCTGGGCTGTCACAGGGAGACACTCACTCCCAACATTCTACACTTAGAACGCTGGGCTGTCACAGGGAGACACTCACTCCCAACATTCTACACTTAGAACGCTGGGCTGTCACAGGGAGACACTCACTCCCAACATTCTACACTTAGAATGCTGGGCTGTCACTGGGAAGGAGACACTCACTCCCAACATTCTACACTTAGAATGCTTGACTGTCACAGGGAAGAAGACACTCACTCCCAGCATTCTCCACTTAGAATGCTGGGCTGTCATAGGGAAGGAGACACTCACTCCCAACATTCTATACTTGGATTGCTCGGCTGTCATTGAGACACTCACTACCAACCTTATACTCTTCGACTGCTGGGCTGTCACAGGGAGGGTGACACTTACTCTGCAGGACAGTCTCTACTCCCTATTCACAGAGCTCTCCATTCATAGGGCTCCTACAAACCTAGAGATTCTCATCCACCGAGCTCCCTATTCTCAAAGCTACTTCAAACCCTGAATACCCTTATCCACAGAGCTTCCCGAACCCGGAGCTTCCTATCGTTGTGTGCGCCCCCTCCTCCTCTCCCATACCCCAAGCTCCCAATTCACAGATGTCTCCGAACCCTGAGTTCCCCATCCTTGAGTACCCCTCTATCCTGTGTTCTCCCCATTCCCAGAGCTGGCTGGCTCCCCTTCTGCAGTGTACTTGGGCAGTGTGGCTCCTGGAGTTGAGCAAAACCCGCAGTGTCTCTTCCAAACGTGAGCATTCCCCACTACTAGGAATTCCGCATACACACCACTTAACCTCCCATACACAGCCAGCAGGCAGGGTGGGATTACACCTCCAGCCCTTCTCAGGGTCACCCCTCTCTGTCCAGCACCGACATGTGTCAAACTTTGGTCATTCAGAGCGAGGGATTGGTGCAGTGACTGTTGCAGAACATATTAACAATATTTCCACTAGTCCCCGGGTGCCCCCTCATTCCAGCAGAGAGTACTCACTTGGCTTTGAATGTAGTGGTAGGAGGAGCGCCATGACATGCATCTTTGGAAGAGGGAATACACCTTTTTTTTTTTTTTCTCCCCCCATTTTTCTCCATTCTTCCTTAAAAGGGATTTTCCTGCAGTCTCCCATAGCTTCTGCAACTGGTACCTGGGATGATACCTCATTCATGAAATTCAAAGCACCTAGTTCTAGAAATTAGACATTGTGGTATTACATTCTTTTTTTATTGACCTCTGGCTTGAAATCTATGAGCTGATGTATATTGGCAAATGATTTAAAACCTTTTTTTTTTTTTTTTTGGTAGAATAATTATAAAGTCTGAAAATACTTCTGAATGAATTTTGCAGTATTTTACCACAGGCTAATGCACTGGAAAAAAGTCAGATTCTGGTTCTGATATGGTCTTTTGTAGCACACTTATGATTTGTCATGTGCCACTGAATGCATCATGTTAAACACAATGTATCAGGATAATGCAACTCTATACATGCTATCTACTTTGGCATCTAATGTGAGAGTAGTAGGATACATGTGTTCTATGTCAGTGTAATCTTCACACATAATATTTTGTTGCAAGAATGAGGAAGTGTTTGTATGGCTGAAGACAAGGTGTAATTTCTCTAGTCACATGGGGGGAAAAAAAGTGTTTGCTAATCCCATTTATATATCTTCACTACAGTGTTGCTTTTGTAACAGTCAATTGAGACTCAATCGTTATTAGTGATACCTTGGTTGAGGCCATGTAGGTCCTGTTCTAGTTACATTTCCATATTGACTGGTATCCTTGTATAGCAAATTAATTTGCATTTATTATAGTGATTATCTTGTTACCAACAGCAGCAACTGACAATCATTTGTCAAACTTAGTACACAGGCACATTTGGTGGTACATCTAATTTATCTTCATTTTAAGGGCTATGGTGGCCCTGGTATATTAAGAACAAATTGACTGCAATTATGTATTTAGGAGCTATAACTCATGGGCTTTGTATTTAGCATTGTCATATGCCAGGGTAGGCCAAAAGTATGACCCTAAGCCCTGTCATGAGCTATTTTACCTATGTAAGAGCCGAAATGGCCAGTTCCTCTCTAATATGACAATATATGTATCTATGAGAGAAAACCATTATTTAAACCTCATTTTTCATAAATACTTAGGTAGTTTAAATTTGCTTAGATTGTTTATAGTTTTATGTACAATAATATCTTGATACTCATTTGAATAGTCATTTTCAGTTGTCTTGAAACTATTGGCAAACTACCTTTTAAAAATTGAACAGGTGGTAAAAGTAATATTCCTGTTCGTGCGGTAGGAACAAAATTGTACAGGTATTAGAATTTTGTGCTTGCAATTTTTTCCTCCTTTGGCACTGAACTGTCTGTGCTCTGCCAGACTTGCTTTTCAGTGCTATTTTTGGTAGGACGTATCTCATTAATAAAATATCACCGTGTTAATATGGAATATCTTTTTGCAAACTTATGTTGCTAAATGAGCAGAATCTCCGTACCTCTAACTGATGGCAGGCTTGGAAATACAATGAATTGGGCAGAAAATCAAGATAAAGCACACATTAAAAAGACGGACAAAGCTGTTCTTACCACTGGTCTCTGTATTGTACAGAAGCCTACATGCTTTTTGTCAAAAGCTGTATTGGCCCTGCTAATTTATATACACTATATTTTATGGACACTATCTTTCTCTTTTTTTGTTTTTTTTGTATCCTTGGTGTAAATAGAGAAACATTTAAATTGCCTCCCATCTTTATCATATGTTCATTTAACCAGTGCTAAACATGTTCTTTGCTCACTGTGTCAAGAGGGTTGTCGACTACACCTCACTGACGAGGCCTCAAGAAGGCCGAAATGATCCTCTGGGGTTACGGTATCTCTTGTGCACAGACAACTTGTCGTCATTTCGGTTATGGACTGCCCTTACGGGTGGGATTAGTCTGCTATACTTTGGAACAGGATCTCTCTGTAATGGCACAAGTGAGCAAAAACTATAGAGACCTGAGGGGCAAGCGACTGAGTTTCTCTAAGCTTTTGTCTGTTCTCGGAGTTCTCATATACTTTATGTTCATTAACTGGCCTAGAACAAAGGGGGAAACCAATATTATTCCTCATGGTAGGGGTCCTTTTAAAGAAAAAGTATCTCTGCTATTTTGTTCCTCTTCATTACTTTTCTTGCTAAGATTGCTATCATGCAATGGTGACCGGTATCTAGGGCAGGGATAGGCAACCTTCGGCACTCCAGATGTTGTGGACTACATCCCCCATAATGCTGACATAGCATCATGGGAGGTGTAGTCCAAAACATCTGGAGTGCCGAAGGTTGCCAATGCCTGATTTAGGGCATGGCTCAACCAGAAAATAGACAAACAACAAATAAAAAAATAAATAAAAGTATTGCCAGTGGTAAGAGAAAACTACCGATATAGTTTCCTTGGTGGAAAGGGTTAACCGGGAAGTTTCCATTCTAAATGGTAAACATATACCATATGGTACTGCAATAATATAAATCCCCTCCCCATCTTCCACTACAGCATTAACACTCACCGATAATGACTTCCAGATGGCTGGTTTTAGGCCTCTTTTTTTTTTTTTTTTTTTAATATGCCCATTCTGAGAGCACCTCAAACATGCTTAGTATGCCCCTATAGGTTACTTCTGAAGTTTAATATTGAAATAAGTTCAGTAACGGAGTCAAAAATAAAGACACATAGGTTCTTACAGCACAAGTGTGGATAGGCATGTTCTCCACCCACTAACACTGTTATATACAGCAATACCACATACCCAGTGAGAATATTCATCCAGACTCGAGAAACAGAATAAAAGGCCTTATTTCATCTAATGGTAAAAGTTTCAGTTTGGCAGACTTACAGTAGCCAGGGAACAGAGGGTGGTACAGAGAAAACATCTGTGTATTGGCCATTTTTCTTATGATGTTCTTACAATTAGATGAATTAAAGCTTGAGCCTTTACTCACCTGCTCAAGACTGGACATCTATTACCATTGAACATTCAGTGTTCCTGTATTCAATGTGAATTTGAAGTTTCCCATTTAATCATTATTAGGGTGTCTGTGCTGGACACCTTTTATGTATAATTTAAAAGTCTTACTGTCTTAAAGCAACACTATAGTGTCAGGCATGTATTCCTCACCCTATAGTTTTAAAAACACAATTTAAGTAGCTTTCCCTCACCTCTCTCGCCTTGAAAAAGATGAGCAACTTTCCTTATTTTCAGTGCGTCTTGTTGTAACTGGCTCTGCCACCTAGATTTGACAAACTAATTCTTTCCCATAGAAAAGCATTGGGAAGCTATTGCACAAACAGTCGTGTGCACCAATCAGCATCTCCTCGTAGAGATGCATTGAATCAATAAATCTCTGAGGAACGTTCAGCGCCGCTATGCAGAACGTGAAGGTGATGCACGCTGTGCAGTACTGACCCAGTAAGCACCTCTAATGGCCGCCTGAGTATTTAGGTGCTCAAACTTAACACACAACAGATCAACATGGGAGGCAGAGCTACTTGTCTAATGAATTCCAAAGAGAAAGGAACAATACTATCTTATTGCCACTTCTGGATGAGTGTTTAGGTTCAATTTTGTCCAATATTTTTCCCCATACTTTATAAAACTGTGAGGAGGAGTTAGTCCTGATTAAAAAAAAAAAAAAAAAATAATCTATTTTTCCCCGGTTTAAAAACTGAACTTCGACTTCTTCCTAGGTCATCCCACCCCCCTCGTCTCCCCCACTAGTGTCTAACGAAAACTGATTTTGGAGGCGATTTTAAAATTAGGGTGATTACAACCCTGTCCTGTTTAATTAGCTGTTACCGTTTAATTTAAGTAAGAAAGTCTCTGGATAGAATGGCAATATAGTCTTAAAGGACACCCAGACCACTTTTTAGCTCAATGAAGCGGTCTTGGTGCAGTGTCCCTGTCCCCTTGACCCGTCAATGGTAATTCTTGCAATTTCTAAGAAAGCAATAATTGCCTTGCAGGGTTAATACAGCAGCCACTAGAGGCACTTTCGGGTGGTTAGGCGACATTTGGTCGCCTAACTGATAGTGGACATCCTCACTCTATGCATGAGGACATCCAGCGCCGGTCAATCCCCTACACGAAAAGCTTTCCTATGGGGAGGGCTTAATGCGCTTGTGGCATAGACCGTGCATGTGAGTGCGCATTAGCGTCTTTTATTGGGTGACGTCGGAGGGGGTGGAGCATATAAATGGCTTAAGCACTCCGGCAGCGTCATTAGCCTGCCTGGAATGAGTTTCAGGCTGGCTAATGGGAATTCTGTGCATATTTGAAGTGTGTATAGTTGACAAGCTGGCACATGGCAGCATGGCCTCTCATCCACGCTGCCCAAATCCTCTCTGCCACTAATCCTCCAGAGTGTCCGTTGCCCTGTGATGGAGGAATTACATCTCTGGAGGAGGATTGTGCTGAGTGAGAACTTGTCTGTGTCTGTATGGAATAGAAAGATGAGTTTATAGGTTTTTTTTTTTTTGTTTTGGTTTTTTTAAGCGGAGGTCAGCATACTAGCAATGGTTCGCCATCCATATTTTTTTGGTTGGTGTAACCCTTTAAGATGGCACCAACTGACATTGAATGAGTATTCCAATAAATTAGGATCCTTAAACATACAAATAATTGATGCAATAAAGTGCCTGCATCTCTGGATTGCAGAACTGCTGACATGGATCTACAGAATGTGAATAATGCTGGAACAGTGGTTATTAAAGCTTGGG